CCAATGTCAAAATTAAAATACAAATATCACAATTGTTATTTTGTTCACCCCTATATATATGCACGTCTGTTTTGTTGTTATTTGATGTATTTGAGTATATTATTGTTAATAATTAATGTTATTATAATTGTTTCGTATTCGACTGACCCGCGTCCGTTCCGCAGTCATCAATAATTGCTTATGTCATTATTATCATTCTCCTCAGAATCCCCTGTATTACATATTTGTGTACCAAATCTTATAACGTAGGTATATTTGAATTTTGAATTTTGAATCTTAACAGTAAACTTTTTTAAATAACAATATTTTCAATCGTCCAATACTCTTTTTTTAGTATCGATTTAAATTTATATTTTGTTCAAATATCATGAACATTAATCACATAATATGAGATTTATTATATTGTAGTATAGTGTGCTGTTATTGTAAATTACAATTAAATATTAATATATTCAAATAATGATCTCAACCATATGTTTTATGCAACAAGTAGGTATAACATATCATTAAAGTTAACAACTCGAAATTAGTTCTGCTGAACGTAACTTAGCTATATATTGTATGTACCTCACTAATTTTACAAATCGGACATATTTTAGGGCTTTAGGCTGGGCCTTAATTTTAAATAGATAGTAAAAATTGGGTCTGCAGCTATTAGGAAAATAAAAAAAAATTTTTTTTCAAAAACCGTTCTAAAAACCAAAGCCGAAAATTTTCAAAAACCGTTGTTGATACCGATAAATTTGAAAAACCTTGTTTAAATGTGGTGGTGGTATGAACAGTGAACACATAATATCGAACGCTGCCGCTGCTTACCATAGATATGCTACTTACATTATGAGCGTAATTAAACTTTTTTTTACCGAAAAACATGGTTTCGTAATTCAAGTAATACGGTTTATTGAAGTATTTTACAGTATAAATACCTATTACAAAAATTGCAGAGGAGAATTTTTTCTAGAATCGTAAGAAGCCCGATTTTTGATAAATTGTTCTAATCGTTAAATGTCACATGGGAAGTTAACACATTTTTTAAAAACATTTTATCGATTAAATATTTAACTAATTAATTAAATATCAAAAATCGGGCTTGGTACGATTGTTAGAAAAATTCTCCTGAACAATTTTTATAATAGGTATTTTTATTAGTTCAAAAAGTAAGGCTGGGCATTAACGATTTAATAAGTTAAAGTTAAATATATAACTTAAGTTATATAAATTGGCCAGTTACAGAAGTAGTAAGTAGTGTAAAATAGTAAAGAGAATGAATAGAGATCGCATGAACTGAAACTTGAAAGTATTGTGTTTTGAAATGTTTGGTAAATTATTATGGTTTTATAATGATTATTAAAGTATGAATATTGGAAAGCTTAGTTTTTGGTTGTATTATTTTACTTTTGACATTCCTATGATATACCAAATACAGCTCACTAAGTACTGTCTTCTAAAATGGTAAAATACATAAATATATAATAACACAACATTTGCAAATATTATGACTACGGGGGGTGTGGGAGGCAGAGCCCCCGAACTATTGAATTCTAGTACATTTTCAGAACCCACCCCATAGGAAATTCCTGAGAACGACACTGCGTTGGTATACATTGATATAAATTATAATATCATCTTATTTATCTTGCACAACATGTTAGTACACACTGAAGACCCAAAAAACAAGTCATGGCAATTAAAATTTCATCATGTTAAAAGTATTAAAAATGTTTCATAATATTATGTTAAACTATACAGTTTTTAATTTTTTAATTTTTTAAACTATAAATCAGTTTAAAATATAAATCATACTTTATGAGGTATTATAAGCTTACAAACAGACAATTTAGTGAATACTTCTTTAATATGCTATAGAGTAAGTATTTTATCTACCATAATTCTATGTTGTGTTAATATGCCATCTGCAAATGAAAACAGTCGCTTTTTTCACCAAATGCTTGGTTGTTACTGCAGGTAGAGTACTGAATAATGGTGGGTGAGGGGGACATAGCCCCCACGTTATTTTTTGCAAAGATTAAGGCGTGTACCCATAACCTTTTTTTAGGACTTCATCACTACGCAGAGGTGTCAATGATGTGTGCTTACTGCTTAGTACCATGAATTTAAATGCTAGCTCCCCGTATCTCGTAATCATCTTAAGATATCATCTCTATATCGTGGGGTGGATTGTCCCTAAAAATGAAACTATTTAAAATAAATATGATGAGAAAAAGTGTCCACTTTAATTAGGTACATATTTCTAGTATACTGTAAAATTACAGAGAAATTATTGAGAAATCATTATCAATTAACAAAATGTACTGTTTAACCAAATATTTTTAAGAATCAAATATATTTAATTCTATTTTATGTATTCTCCACACTAAAAATTTTTTTTTTTGTTGCTCATGTGGCCATGATACTTTGTTATAAAATATAAAAACTTAATTTGATTTCCATACATTTTTGTAATTATAGCTGTACATTTAATGCAGTAAGAAACCTTAAAAAAATATTCAAAAATCTCAATAATTTCACTTTAAAATGCAATATACCTTCGTTATATATCCTAAAAAATGAATTTAATATTCAAAATGTATAATGTATAAATCAGTGGTGTCATTTGAGTTTTAATTTTTACGCTGAAGCCATCGCCCATCGGCACAATTGTACATTTTAAACCAGTACAATTAGAAAAAAATAATGGTGCCAAGGTACGTTCTGCACCCACCTCTCACCACCTCAACAGCGAAACTGGTATAAATATATATCGAGCTGAATTAAGAAAAAACATTGTGTTTTAATTAGTTTTAACCAATTACAAAACTGTAGATGACATGAAATAAAAATTAATTGATAAAATGTAAGTAAAAAGTTTTTAATAGATGCAATTTGTAAACATCTAATTTTTATTGTTGCTTAATTTTAAGTATCTATGGTAATTAGTTTTTGAATAAAACTAGACAAACTAACAAAATAAGAATATCTTTGTATGAGAATTTGTTAAGTTATGGCTGAATCCAAAGTCTATTAGCTTTAAAACATTGTAAAAATTAATTTGACTTTCCAACAAATTTTTTTTTTTAACGCTGGAAAACTTAATTCGGAGTTTGTGTTAAATTTTTAAAGCTTAGATATAAATAGAACATTTTTTATGAATTTCCAACTTGAAATGATTTGCCTATTTTCGTGATTTTGATGAATTTCGACAACGTTTTAACTTCAGATTGTCATAAAAAATTATTGTGGATTTACGCTCAACTTTTTTTTTAATTTCCACTATCACAAACGTCTCATGAGGAATGTTGTATTACATTTTCAAGTTTTTGACTGACATTTGGTATCGACAATAATTTAAAAAAACTAATAAAACACGAAATGTTCTTATGTCTATAAATAGTTATTGTTTTCAAAATGTTGTTGTTACACAGTCTGGAAAATAATTGTATTAAATAAAGTGGGGTACCTACTTTTATTAAGTATTTTTCAATACAAAATAATGTATTAAATTGTTCAAAATATGATAGTAAATTAGATTGAAGCTTATAGTCTGAGTTAAGAAATGAAAAATGTTAATTTTTTTTAATTTTTTAGTACACATTCATTTTTCTACTATCTATTGACCAAATGAAACATAAAAGTGGCCTTAATGAAAAAAAATTTAAATGGCAATAGCAAGTTTTGTATTGTAATTTGTAACCACACAACTTTTTTGCTCTTTTCATGAGGTGACTTACACAACTTCATGAAATGGCCGTTAGTTGAATAATAAGTATAATATTATACATTAAGGCCCCCGGACATTTTCGCAGTGGTGATATAAATTGTTTATATTTAGATAGGTACACACTATTTTGTAATTAATGATTAATGTAATTCATTGAATTTAATGATTATAGTAGGAAATCGGCGATTGTACTTATATTTATAGATTATTAATAGGGTACCTAATGCCAACCACAATTAATATTGTAATTACTAATAATTCATGGCAACTACACAGATACACGCCTACACCAAACAGTGAATAGCACTAATCCGTTGATTTACCTCGTCTTAAACTCCGTTGAATGTAAACTGCAAATAATTAACAAAGTAATTAGGTCGGGTTTCACCAAATATATAAAATTTCTAAAAAATTAAAAAAATTATATCCAATCGTAATAACTATTCGATTTTCTTTCACCAGTAGCAACCCTATTATTTAACTAAAAAAAATTTTGTTTTTTTCGTGAGCCAACAAATCGATGATTTGAAAATCGTTTTTTTTTTTCAAATTGTTTCTTAGTGCTTCCCTATATAATATACATGGTAATACGAATAAAAGGTACCCTGAGAATTTTCAAACTCATGCTTACATAATTTTGGCTCAATACCTATTGATTTTAAATCAGTCAGCAGGACTCAGGACAAACGTACCTAATGTGTTTAGTTTTTTTGACTTTCTATGGTAGGTACCTGCTTTTAATTTGGTATTGTTAATCGAATATTGAAAATGTATAATTTAATTGCTTCAATCTAAGACTATTAACATTAAGTTTCCTATTTACATATTCCGTGCTATATATAGGCATTCGCTGTCATATTTGAACAACCTATCGTAGTTAATTTAGGCGATATCGGCAAAACATGAAAAAAAATATGTATTGGGTTTTATTTCAAAATATGTCGCAGAATTATATTTTATTCCAGTGCCAAAATGGCCCAACTATCAAAAAAAAAAAAAAAAATTATTCGCCAGATATTAGCACGTAGTTCGTATTGTCATTGATATTTTAATAACTTATTTTCGGGTAAAATTGAGAGTCGTCCATCTAGTATTTTTATATTATATCTGCGAGGAACACTCTTGCTGACGTGTAAATTTTCGTATAAGTTTTAATAAAAATAAAAAAAAAACGAAACGAAAATGAGTAAAATCGCCTTTTGTTTTCATCAGCCACCCAATATTATAATAGAAATCCTTCATCCTAGACTGCTTCAGCGTCTCCTGTACCCCCGTCCACCATTTATCCATCTTCAATTTCTCCGTATTCGTTAATTCTTTTTGCGTCGTCTTCGACGTCTTCGTCGTCGTCGTCGTCGTCATCGTCGGTCAAAACGTCCGTCACCGTCGGGCTCACGGCCGTCTCCAGCGGTGGCATAGCAGGTACAATATCGTAAAATGACATACCTGGTGGACGAACGTTTTGGGCGAATTTGAACAGTTCGCAAAAGGCCAATTGGCGGACGATCTCGAACCGGCCCAGCACGTCCCGCTGGAATGCGGCCATCAGGCACCCGTTCACCCGGTCCCAGCTTGGCAGGGCTGTCAAGTTCCACAGCTGGTACGAGTGGTACCATAGCGGCACATCATTTCCTGCCCGGCAGTACACAGCGTCCATGCACTTGGCGAACACGTACTCATCCCGGTGGCGTCGGAACGCGTCCGCGTCCAACATGACCGCAGTCGGTGACGACAGCGAAGGTCTGCCACCGGGATCAGAGCCGTCGCCGTCGCCACAGTTTCCCGCGAGCTGCGCACTGCCCCATAGGAACCCAACGAACTGGTAACCGCTCAGGCACCAGTTACCCAAGTTACCACCGTACTCGCTTCTCGACGGGTACAGCTGATAGGAGCGTATCATGTAGTCCACGACGTCCAAGTACCTGCCAAACGGACCGAAATGTATTGACGCTGCTGACTTCAGCTGAATAACGTTTTCCTCGATCACTTTTCACTTCATTCAAATGAGTTGGTTTAATTTTTTTATCGGACAGTGACAAACACGCTCGACTCAACCGACAATTATTTAAGATTTATTTGTGTTAGGTACAATGCTGGCCCATTGCAGAGGAATAATCCTGATTTTTAAAAAATATCAATCAGAATAGGTAGATTATATATTCACTATATTTAGGGATTTTCGCCGGAATCAAAATTATTAATCGTTATTCACTTGTCGAAGATTACGGTGGCCACAAACGGTTCGTCTGCCCACGTCAAGTGGTGTAGCTTGAACAGCGACACCAGGAAAGTACAGAACGATAGTTCGTGAGCGGGCCCATAGGCCATCGTGAATGGGTCGCCGAAGCTCCGTTCTAAGTACGCCGGAAGCATGACGTCCCGGTATTCGGCACGGCCGCGACCGCCGTACGTCTGGTCGAGTAGGCAACGGCCGTCGGCCCGCAGCTGGCTGTGGAAATGGCAGAAACGCTCTGTGGCCGCCTCCTCGACTTGGCCCGCGGGTTCGCTCCGTTTTGCCGCCCACTCGCCGACCGTCCGCAACACCGCCATCGCCCTGTCCACGTTGTCGTCAACCGGTCGCGGACGCGGGATACGGCGCCGCCTCGCAGCCGCCGCCGCTGGGTACCGCTTGGCCACATCGTTCATGTGCCGGACGAACACCAAAAGGTCGGCCCGTGCTTCGCTCCGTTCCCAGTCGAACATGTCCCGTGGTTCGCGCACCCGCTGGCCGACCATCTCTACCGGAAGACTGGCGCCGGCCACTGGAACCTTAAACTCGACGGCGCCAGAGTAGTCTTCGGCGGTTGCGTCGTCAGCGTAGTCTTCGGCGCCCGGGTCGTCCGCGTCGTCCTCGAAGGTCTGCATGACCGTGGGTTGTTAGAGTATAATATAATATTACGTTATGTGATATTCGAACGTCCGAAAAGAATAATTATAATAATATGCTACTAGTATAAGAGATTTTAAAACGAAAACCAGAGATTAAATAAAAAGCTCGACCTATATGTTTGACGATAATACTATTCTGCTATCACTAGGTATGTTGTTTTATTTACAGTACCTAATTTTACACGGCAGTTGTTATAATAACATGTTTTATTTGTTTTTATTATAGCTGCAGTATTATAGTTGTATAAACTTATTTATTCTAAAACGGCTCGTACACCGCATTAATTAGTGTACGTACACGGTATCTGTCTTATGTTATGATATTATAGAACTCAGGTATTTCAATAGGTAGGTGTAGATATATTAAATCAAATATTTGACTAAACTATTTAAATTTTTGAAGTATAGATGACAGTAGTAGTGGAGACAGATAACCAACATTTTAAGGGGGTTCTCCTATGCCAAACCTCTCTCCAGTCACAACTCATCTAAAATTTAAATACCTACTACTATAATATATTATTATAACTATCATAAGCTATTCGAACAAAATTCAATTTTATAATATAACATTAAAACAATTTATCGTTAGTTCATAATTTTAAAAATGTTGTAGGTATTTACTATTTACACAAAAATCTATTCCCTAGTAAATAGTAATGTTCAAGATTCTTTTTATTGATTTTTTTAAAAATATTTATTGTTTTATTGTCTAAAAACTAAAAAAGATGACAAGTAACCCTAGGATTTGTTTTTAAGGACGTATAACAATATGTACTATAATTGATATGCACTTATAGTGACTTTTCGGACATAAATATGTTTTTGGGCGTGGTTAGATATTTCATTTTTCCAACTGATTTTAACTAACGCTTCGTTTATACCATAGAAAATATTAATATCTAGTTATAAATGTGTATACTATGCTATTTATCGAGTGTTATATTTTGTTAAAATAACTAAACTGCATAATATTATATTACAATATTTACGATTAGTTGGTTTTGAATAATGTTTTGAATTTGAAATGTGGTTTCATCGTTTCATCACATTTTCAAAATGTTTTGATTTATTTTGAACTGTTTAGGCACATTTTCATTTTCCATTTTTTTTTAGTTTTTTATCAATAAAATTTTATTTGTTGGTTAAAAAAGCTTGACAATTTAATCCAAGGCTAATACTATATTGTTACATTGGCATTCGAAAAATATTAAAAATCCTTAGTCACAGTTTTTTTTATAAGCATTTAAATTTCAAAAATAGACAAAATATGGAAAAATCACGAAAATTAGCATATTATTTTGAGTTAAGAATTCTTAAAAACTTTACTTTTTAAATCTAAGATTTTAAAATATAATTCAAGATTCCTTATAAGATTTTCAAAAAAAAAAAATGTATATAAGAAAGTCAAATTAAATTTTTATGAGCTTTTGAAATTCAAATTTTTACAACATTAGATATTCACTCGATTTCTCATGTAGCGATTTCCTTATTTTGTTTTAATTCAAAAACGAATAACAACTGTAGATCCATGAAAATTTCAATGAATGTTTATATTAGCATTTCCTATATATACCATACACTTTTGAAAATATTTTGACTCTTTTTGATCTGTTTACGGACATTTACAGTTTTCAATTTTTTTAGTTTTTTTTTTCAATAAATATCAATAAAGTTTTATCTGTTTCAGCCAAAAAATATAAAAATTTAATACAAGGATCCTGATATATTGTTACGATATCAGTTGAAAACATTAAAAATACATATGCACAATTTTTTTTATGAGCATTTAAACATCGAATTTTGACAAAATTGATCAAATTTAATATTGAATAAGTATTTTGTAGTTAAAAATAATTTATAAAATGTTCAACTTTTATATCTAAGGATTGAAAATTTAAAACAAGATTCCACTTAAGTAGTTAATTCTGTTAACAAAAAATCTAAAAAATACAGGCCAGATTATTTTTAGAATCATTTTATGATCAAATTTGGAAGAATTTAAATATTAAAAAACCTAGAATAACTATTTGAGTTATTTTGTTGTGATTGTATAATATTATTCGTGGGTACTTGAAACTTCTAAAGTATATTACTATATATCTATAATAGTACCACGGTTTATTGTTGATGTATAACGTGTTATAAGTACCTAATGGATATTGTGATACGATTAATTCGGAATTTATTATATTATGTACCTATTATAGGTTAATTTTTTTTAATACCATAAATAAGTATATAATATGTCTTATACCTAGAGTCTAGTATGTCTAGGTCCTAGACTGACATACCGTTTCAGCTCAGAATCGTATTTCTTAGGTATACAATGATATTTTATCATTGAATTCAAATATAATACTGTAACGACCTGTGACTACGTATATATTAATAATAGTAATAATATATTATATTATATTCTATTAAATAAAGTACGATTATAATACATATATTATGTTCAATAATAGACATAAATGCTACAGGGAGCGCGTAACCCCGGTAATAGTAATAATATCAATAGCCGAGCGGCTACACCAAAGAGAACTAGTTAATGTCGGCCACATCAATAAAAACACGTTATAGGTATAAGCACGCAATATCCATATTCTAGGAAAGACTAGGAAACATATAATCCGTAATTAACATTATTTTCGTAAAAGACGTCAGAAATGACCTCAGGTGGATGCGGCGCGTGTACCATTGTTATACTAAAAATGCCATAGGAGGGATCTATTAGGAATACCGATGAGATACGTCGATGGACAAGTGTCCATCAGACGAGCACCAGCAGAGCAGCCACCAAGTCAATACTAAGTCACATCTCGTTTACCACATTCTTATAAGTTGATTATTTGGACTTAGTCTATTTTACGTGTTAAATAAATACAAATAAACTATCATTATAATATCAACTTGTTATTTTATTCAAAATACAACCAAAACTGAGTTGAAGTGGTTGGCACGTTACAATACCATATATTATACAGTGACCCATTTGTAACCTACTGTGCAGCAGAGCACTTTTTTATGATTTAAAGAGGTGTATTAGTGGTGTGTGGACTATAAAATTGTGAATTTTAATATTTTAATATATTCATGGTAAGAGTATTCCATCCTATCAATAACATTATAATGTTACTATAGTTAGTATTAAAATAATATGTCAAGGCAAGACCAATGCAAAACTTCTGTTAAAATATTTTAATGAAATATTAATTATTAATTATTTTAGTGGTTGAAATGTTACTGCAAGCAATTTGGTTTCATATTCAAAGACCTTATTTATTTTTACATTTAATTTAAATTTATGCTTTTTTTTTGCAAAATCTAGGCTCTAGACGACAATTATGGTCAGACTAGTACTAGTGTCTAGAAATTTGACCTTAACTCAAACAATTAATGTCTTTGAATCAAACCACTATCCAGCAATATTCAATCAATTTCCCAATTAATAAAACAGTATATTATATGCTTTTACAATACTATAGTTTTTCCTTTTTTTTTACACACAATCTACTCAATTGTTTTAAATATTATGGTTTTAAATAACAATAGTGTAATAGTCAATATAATTTTTTTTTTGGAAATAGATTAAGTTCTGGGAGGCCCACGCTGCTTGGGAAGATGTGGATTAAATTTATGTAGTTTGTAATTCATGCAATCGTGGCAGAGCATACATTTTACAACTTCAAACTAGATTAGCAGATACATATTTTGAGAATAAGTTGTTGAGAAAAAAAATGTATTGGAATGCATTTTTTGATTATAAAGTAATTAAGAAAACACCTAATAAATATCAATAATATACTAAAATAAATAACAAATGATTTATAATTTTAAAGTTAGATTTTTATTCTATAACTATTCTTTAATTGTTAGAACAATACATACTTGTTGTTTTTTTAGTTAAAATAATCAAAATAAAAATAAACATATTTGTTTACAAAGAAACTGTAGATACATTGGAGTATCTGCCTTAAGGGCTATAATTGCTTTATAATTTAAAAGTTAGATTTTTATTCTATAACTATTCTTTAATTGTTAGAACAATACATGCTTGTTGTTTGTTTTAGTTACAATAATTAAAATAAAAATAAAACATATTTGTTTACAAAGAAACTGTAGATACATTGGAGTATCTGCCTTAAGGGCTATAATTGCTTTATAATTTAAAAGTTAGATTTTTATTCTATAACTATTCTTTAATTGTTAGAACAATACATGCTTGTTGTTTGTTTTAGTTACAATAATTAAAATAAAAATAAAACATATTTGTTTACAATGAAACTGTAGATACATTGGAGTATCTGCCTTAAGGGCTATAATTGCTTTATAATTTTAAAGTTAGATTTTTATTCTATAACTATTCTTTAATTGTTAAAACAATAAATACGTCTAGTTGTTTTTTTAGTTACAATAATCAAAATAAAAACAAAAAATATTTGTTTACAAACTACAAAGAAAAACTTGAGTGTAAAATATGGAAATACAAATAATTAATCAAATTAATATAAAAAATAACTTATGGCATCTCTACAATTATATATAACCAAACTAAAATTAGTTTGATTTTAAGACTATCACAAAAGGTTCAAGGATTTCATACCTGTATTGACATAATTGTTTTACAAGCACTTATTTTTGTTTAGAACAACTGACCCACAAATATGGTATATTTAGTATTAAATGAAATTGACACATAATCTAACTTTTCCATGGGCCCATATATATAATATTTCAATTTAATGTGTTTAACTCATTTTAAATTAGAATATTGAGAACCCTGATGTTTGCAATTTTGTATTTCAAATTTTGATGATAAATTATATGTCAAAGTACTTTTATATAAAAAAAAACCATAATTGCGGATCTTAATTGTACTATGTTATGATAATGATAACAACTGTTGTGTAATATCTTTTAAGGTAATCAGTGGCACAATAAACCATGAACCTTGTGCATGAATATTATAAATACTAACAACACAACAGCATAGCAAGATTTATCCCACTTTGATGCTTATTATATTTCATTATAAATTAAGTTGTTAAAACTGAAAATAATGATATAAATTGAAATTTAATAATAGTATGGTTTTCACCACACAATGTCGCAGTGATCCTACAAGCCTTATAAGTACACTTGAATAGTGCTAAAGAAACCTTCTTTACACACTGGGCACTCATGCATATCTTCCGCACATTCGACACAGGCATAAACATGTCTACAGGGTATAAATACCGCTGCCATTTCTTTTGTATGACATACCTTGCAAAGCATTGTGTCTAATTGTTCATCTAAACACTCTGATGAACTGCACGGTAACTGTCTGACATCTTTAACTGTTCCTTCATCCATTGATAAGTGTATTTTCATTACCATATCCAATGGCTGTCTACACACAGCACACTGTTCAAGTGTTAAAGCGCATTGAATGCAGGTGACGACATGGCCGCAAGGGATCAAAACCACTTTCATTTCTTCTTTATAGCAAATCTTGCACAACATATAATCTGGAATTGTCTTAGTATCTCGCTTTTGACACAGTTGTAGGTTTTCATAATATGTTATTTTGATTTGACCTATGTTGGAAATGTCTAACTGTTCAAGCATTCTATGAAAAAAAAAAAAACAATAAATGTGATAATCAAAATGAGAACCATTGACATATTTATATTTATAATTTTGTGCATAAAAAAAAAAGTAAAAAAATATTTTGTGTCGTATGCAAATGTAAAATTAGTTACAAGCAACAAAAATGCAATCGAAAAATTTAGGTGTATGACGACGTTGACAGACAATGTGAATACTGATTAAAATAAATTTTAAAATTGTAAATAAATAATAATATAATTAATGTCTGAATATAATATATTCATACATTTGAATGACTTAAATTAAATATTTAACTGGATTCAAATTTCTAGTTTTCAGATTTATTGAACAAAAAAATATTACAAATGAATTGAAATCAAAAAATGCTTTTTGCTTACCGTGATTTTCTGTTTTTGTTTAACACACGACCGAAGTAGTATTTTAGAAGGTTTTATTTTGCCAAAAATAACAATTGATATAGTGATTATATAATGATGCGATAAGAATTCTAAAAACAAATTTGAATTCGTGTCAAGTCTACTTGAAATCAACTTTCCCACATTTTTTAAATTTTCCCCCAAATTCCTAAAAATGTCATATTCAAAAAAAAAGTGGGAAGTGGATCTGCTATACAGAAGGTTACAAGTGGGTCACTGTTATGGATGGTGTTTAATTTGAATTCAATGATTTAATATCATTGTATAAGAAAAACGATTCTGAGCGAAAACGGTCAGTCAGTCTGAATTTTTTATATTGTTGAATTAATATTATTATTTTTTATTTGTTGCTATGCTGATAATCAAGGCGTTAGAAATTAAAATCCCATTTTTAGTGGTTTTTGGTAATTTGTCGGTAGTTTTTCCATGACATTAAATAATTATTGAGACAATCGAAAAATGACCTCTCTAAAGTACCATCTTGATCCAATTTGCTAAAAGATAAGGTACTATATGTTGAAATTGAAGCACTCCTTCTGGTATATACTTTGTGTACAGGATATAAAAAAAAAAAATAAATAAACACCATTGTAAAACCACTAGCTTCCTTGCTCCGCTCAGAATCTAAAAAGTATTTAAGATTGTCGTATTTAAATTATTGGAGAAGTCAAAATCAAAAAATCAAAAATGTGGGAAAGTCGATTTCAAGTAGATTTGACGATAAATTCAAACCTGCTTTTAAAATTCTTATCGCTTCATAAGGTCAATTGGTTTGTTTGGCAAAGAACCCGTCTAAAATCCTATGTCGCGCGTGTGTCAGACAAAAACAGACAATCACGGTATCGAATCCCCTTAAATAATTAGACTGATTATTCAAGAAACATACTTTATTGTCGAATTTACTTGCATATTATTTTCAGTGATAGACGTATCCTTATTTTCAGCAATCAGCTTGCATAACTCCTGTAAGATAATTTTAAGGTTAATTTTCAATATTGCATCCATATTGATTGAGAAAACTTCTAAATTACCTTTGAGTTTAATTTTGTGCTTTCCTCACCACATGCTTCTTCAACAAAGTTTTTCCCTTTAATCAACAAAACATAATTACAAGCTTTTGACCATTTGGCATGTTCTGTCCATGGTTCATCGTTATCTTCCCAGTCCCTAAGACCTTGATCACAGTGATAACATGTCATATGGTCCTCTGCACCAGTGCCTACACAAATTAAAACAATATTAATATGAGAAATTCACTAGTATAGTAAAATACTATCATATTACCTCGATAATACAATCCCGCTTCACATAGAGTTTGAATATTTTGCTTTAATGATATCACACATTTTTCAAAGGATTCCAAGCGTGCTTCTAAGGTGGCAAACTCTTTGTGCTTAGGTGGTTTAATTTCTTGCAGAATACCCACAGATTTTAAAAAATCTTGTAAGTTTGGTGGTTCATTGTTAGAATGGACATTAGAATGGACATTAGAATGGACATTAGAATGGACATTAGAATGGACATTAGAATGGACATTAGAATGGACATTAGCAGGACCGGACGTATAAATACCACACACATCATAACCAGCTAAAAATACAATTAAAATAATTAGTTATTTTAAGCAATATGCAATAGTACTGAATACTGATATAGTACTTTTTTTTTTATTATATTTATATTTTTAAAAATAATTGAATATCCTTAATGTTTACATTATTATTATTAAAATAAAAACTAATCAATCCATTTTATATTTAATAATAATTTACTTATATATGTAGTATATAGTTTATACATTAATTTCACTAACCATATTATTTTTCTTTTTAAATGTTTTATTAAGTTTTCTTTGTAATTTTTGATCCATCCTAAACAAGCCCTTAAGTCTAGATTCTTTTAGATCTAAATCCGTAAATGAAACTATGTATTCCAAACAATAAATAAATTAACTAGGAAACAAGTCTAGTACCTATGAAAGTATCTGTAATATACTTATAATCTGATTATTTTAATGGGAAAGAAGAAGATATTCAGATGGAATTGATCTTATTTGTTTCATTAACTGATAATTATTTAAGAAATATTTGTTAGCTAATGACCCATCACACTTAAATCATAAAAAGTACTCCAATTTTAACAATGTTAACATTAAATAATTAGGTATTTCTTGTTTTTTGTGAATAAAGCATTATAGAGTAAAACTAATTTAAGCATTAGTCAACATGTTTAAATAGGTGTCTTACATTTTATTATAAAATAAAAGTATTAAGTTTTGATCTTTATATCCTAATATCTAGCATTCAAGCTTACAACAACATTGCAAATTTTTGCAATTAACTAGAAATTATCATTCAATGAATTGAGTAGTTCTTTCTTTTATATGATTGTTGTTCAGTTAAGGTTATATTACTAAACACACAAAATATTTATCTTAAATTAACTTAAATTTCATATCAGATTACAAAAGCATTAAATTTAGGTATTTTATAATTACCAGAAGAGTCATTAAAAAATGCACAACGTGGAGACCATTTTCTATGTTCATCAAACGGATTATCACCATGTTTCCAATCATTGAACTCTGAAGAACAATACGCACATTCAACACGATCTTGTGGGCCGATATAATATAATCCGGCTTCGGCCATTTGGGCAGGGGTTATAAATTGTAATTCCCAATTTCCATCAAATGTGTTTAAGCGATTTTCGTATCGGCTAAAATCTATGGAAGGTATTTCTTCATCAGACGTTGATCTAGATATTGGCTGAAGTGGATCATCAGAAAGAGATTGAGTTATAGGATATGAATTGTTCAAAATGATTGGATAGCTGTTTGACATTTGATTGATATTTTGCTCAAATTCTAAAGAAGCTGCTAACGTCTGTGAGACAGGTCTATCATTTGGGGGTGTAGCCATCTGTAAAGAAAAACATAAGTATCAATTAGTCTACATTTCAAAAATAAATAAATAAATGTACTTCATAAAAAGATATACTATTTGTTAGACTATATAATGATTGTTTTAATATTTATGAACTGAACATAACTAAATATAGGAGATAATGATTTATGGAAAAACTGGTTGTACAGTTTGTAAATAGGCATTGTTTCGATGGTGATGGCAGGATGGTCAGAATTATGTACTCTGTATAAACCACAAGATTATTCTGATAATGTAAGTGTACACAAATCTAATATTGCACCAATAGCTTATGAATGATAATAGTTTAAAGTATAGACTGGAGGGAGTATAGAGTGACTAGATCTATTTGTAGTTAACACTTCAAAGACACCATCAATCCAAACTTAAAAAATGTATATTCATAATTAATAAACAATTTGGCTAAGATTAAATAAACTGCACATCAAAATGTTCTCCTTGAGAATTTAAAATCAATAGTCTGGTTTCTAATTAAAAATGTAAATATTACTTTACCGAATAACAACGAGAATGTGGTTATTATAAAGCTACATGAAAATCATATACATAAGGTTTTTGGTTGTTTCCAAAGATAAACATTTAAATTACAAATATTCCATGAAATATTGACTGATTATTGATTAAAAAATCACTCAAGTTCTGCAACAAAAACATTGGAATGAAACAGCAATATTAATATTATAGAAGAATACAATGGAATTAACAATGTTTGATTAAAATATAAAGAACAATGAAAAAGAACTACTTAAGTTTAAATAGTTTAAATAGACTATTGATTTTTTAATAGCCTATTATCAATGCAGGTCATGTAAATGGAATGACTATAATATGTAAAAAATATCAGTAAACAATCGTATATTATACAGGTGGTTTCACCAAGTTGTTATTTGAACTTATTAACTAGCTCATATTTGAATTTAAATTAGTCTCTCCGTAGGACACTCATTTAGTATTCAAAATCACAACAATTTGAAATTTTTTTCTTCGAGTAGGCATATTTAAAAATGCTAAAAATCAGATTTTGAAAAACAATTGCATAATTGAAAAAAAACGAGGGTGTATGGTTGGTGAATCACCTTATATTTTATATTTTTTTTATGTATTTGTTCATTAGTACGACCTCAAGATCTTTGTCAATGCTTATCACAAGTGGGTAATCATGACGTGAACTATTTATCCATGTTTGTATTACTATAAGCATGATATTACGCCATTATCCAAGGGGAGACACGTGCGGTTTTCACTCTCAGTGGAGTGGGACCTACTTGGAAACCGGATGACGCAATCGGACGACTGCAGTGGAAATTGGTGATCTCGTGGAACAACACAATTTTTTTTTGCAATTTGCTATGAATCAAACCAATGTGTAAGTCGTAGTCAATAATTTAAAAATAAAAAAAAAATGAGTATTTTAGTTTTCATAAACTACGACAAAAAAGGATAAATTTAAGAAATATCAATATTTCTCAGTTAAAAAATAAATAACATAATATCAAACAATAACTTTTATTTACCTATTTTACTAAACAAAAATGGTTTGAACTTTAAATGATACGGCCAGCTAATTAAAATGAATGTGTAATTTTAATTATAAACAAATTAAATAATCACTATAATATTACCTTATATTATGATATACGTAATATTGTAATTTGTTAATAATATTATAATGTATATTGTTATTTGTTTTTGGTTTAAAATGTTTGCCAATGATTATGCTTAAACCTGTGCCTATTTTGATTATAACTAAAATAATATGATGCATTGATGCTTTATTCAGTAAAATATTTCATATTGTAAAGACCTTCAGAGCGTATAACTATCAGAACCACTGGCAGTAGCACAATAACAAGAAACTATAACAAGGGAAACGAGTCCTTGGCCTCAGCTGATAAGAAGATTAATAAATATTGTTTATTTTTGTCTAGACAAACCAAGTTTTAGGCGAGAGTCGCCTAATGAGCAGATGAAAACATACCTACAATCAATCACAAAATAATTATATTGTAATGACATTGTCGACGAGACATCGTCACGAGCACAAACAAGGCCGTCAATAATCGTGTGGAGACGATATTACTGTAAACAATTAACGATAGTCCAATAATATAGGTAATTAGGTAACATGACAGAAACGAGCTCTTTGCTCATGTAAAATCGTGTATCAACCATTATAAGGACGCCACAACCCGACAACCGTTGTCTCAGTCTTACAAACACGTAAAATACCAAATGTACGCTCAGAAATTCGGGTTTTATGCCGTTAGCTTAAAAATTAGAGGGAATCGATCTATTATGAAACTTGGTGTGAAGAATATTATCTGTGATTTGTTGGAAGTGTTTTTACGATAATTCTGTTTTTAAGTGAGTTGTGATCATTTTTAATTTACATATTTTATTCTATACGAATTTGTAAGCCTGAGGCACACATGTGCGTGTGGCGTTCTCTTATAATACACATCATAATATATTATTGTTATTATCATCATAGAACAAAAAATAAGAAGACAGTATCCTCAATGATAAGACTGAGCTTATTTTTTTGAAGGGCAACGTATAATTTATAATATATTAAACCAACAATAAAAACAGGGCGATATACATTTAATGGTATGCAAATAAAAATGCATGCACAAGGCGATGCACACACGCGAAATAGGACGAAAACACGGTTCGTGTTGAGCATACCTATTATTTCTTATACTATTGATATCATATTATTATATTAATTCTGTGGTTGGTGCAAGAAGGGCATGTTATATTTTAACAATGCTCGGGAATTTAAAATATTAAATTGGGCAATTTTTTAATTTTAAACAAAAATCCTAAATTGTATGTTGGAACTCTAAAAATGCTGTTACTTAATTACATTTGTTTTTATTTCATTGTATGACCCTCATTTTGTTTAAATGTATAAATATGTACGTTTTAGTTTGACATTGGCCCCCAGAAAAAATAATAAAAGTACTTTGGTTTGACATTGGCCAAAAACTAAAATTTAAAATAAACAATTTTTAATAATTAAAGAACTTGACTTTTATTTTATGAAAACCTAATCATAATATTCAATTGAGCATAATGTAAGTAACTTCTACAGTTATAAACTTTATTAATTGATTTCGAAATGGCCAATATCGTGGCTATAGATAATATTATGTGGCCAATGTCAACATCGGCCCATAATAATTCAATTATTGCCAAAATGGTCAATTTCATATCTAATTTGGTCATATAGCATAAGAGACATTAACCCTTTTAACACAAGCAACATAAGCAAATTTTAATGACATTGGTAAAATAATCTCAATTTTGTCAAAATGTGACATTGACGATTCTTGCACCAAGCCACAAATATATATGTCGAATCAGTGGCAAACTGGGGGGGGGGGGAGGGTAGACCCCGGGTTTTTGATGAACGATTCTGAGCGAAAACGGATCATGATATTACTAAGTATATTTGATGATAGTATTGCGAATAAAGTAATTTATATATAACCTATTTACGTGGAGCCTTGTTTTAAATTTTCAGTCCTTAGGTATAAAATTTGAACATTTTATACATTTTTAGCTACAAAATAATTATTAAATTTTAAATTTGATACATTTTGTCAAAATTCGAACATTAAATTCTTATAAAAAAAAATTGTGCCTATGTATTTTTATATTTTTCAACTGCTATTGTAACAATATCAGGAGCCTTGCATTAATTTTCAAGCTTTTTTCACCAACAAATAAAATTTATTGATATTTATAGAAAAAAAACTAAAAAAATGTAAAACTGCAATGTCCATAAACAGCTCAAAAAGCGTCAAAATATTTTCAAAATTGTATGGTGTATAGAAAATGAAAATATAAACATCCAGTAAAATTTTCAAGTATCCACAGATATTCATTTTTGAATATAAAAATAGCAAAATCGCTACATGAGAAATCGAGTGAATATCCAATATTGTAAAAATATGAACTTCAAACTCTCATAAGAATCTAATTTAATTTGCTTGTGTACATTATTTTTTTGATAAGAGTGGACAAACTTACGAATAGTCTTATATTACATTTTCAAATCTTAGATTTAAAAAAAAAAAATTTATGAATTCTAAACTCAAAATACTATGCTAATTTTCGTGATTTTTCAGTATTTTGTCAAGATTTGAACTTTAAATGAGCATAAAAAAACCGGTGACTAATAATTTTTATATTTTTGAATTGTCATTGTAACATTTTAGTATGAGCCTTGTATCAAATTTTAAAGCTTTTTTACCTAAAAGATAAAGTTGTATTGACTTTTCTTGAAAAAAAGACTAATACTATTGAAAACTGAAAATGTTTGTATTTTCTAATTTTATCGTGTATAGAAAATGCGAATACAAACCACCCCTTCAAAATTCCAAGTATATACGTTTATTTGTTTTAGAGTTACAATGAAAACCAAAATCGATTTTGTCGAAAGCCGATATTGCGGAAAGATTCCCGTTTTTATTTAATTGTTATGTTAACGTTGCCTTCCCAGCGCTTTTGAAAACTATTGAAAATTTTAAATTTTTAATTCTGAATACACCAAATAGATTCCTTTCCCCATAGAACAAGATACTCTTGAAGAAAATCGAAACAGTTTTACTGCCCCAAACCATCATGGCAGACACGAAAATAAAAAAGAAATTTAAAAAAACACACATCATTGTAAAATCAATACATTCATCGCTTTGTTCAGAATCTAAAATGTAAATAATATAATTTTTTTTGTTTATTGGCCTTAAGGCCGGAAAATTGTGTATATTAAGAATTAAAATGTATGTATATACTGAGGAAAAGAACAGAAAAACAGTAGTTCAATACATTTTTTTGAACCCCCCCCCCCCTTGAATAAATCCTGGTTGCGCCAATGTGTCGCATATGAGTATGTCATTTTTTTTTTGGCACTAAAGACTGGTTGTAATATTTTCGATATTAAATGGTTGTGAACTTGAAAATACGATGAAAAACAAATATAATATGTGCTATAATTAATAATATGCACTATCTAAAGCTACAAATATGCATTAAATATGACGTAATTAATAGTTAAAAACGTTGAAATATGCATATAATGCAAAATAAAATTCGTGTTATTTTAATAAGAATGATCTAAACCGGTGACAATGCTCATCAGTAGGGCCCGGATTTATATGCAAATGCATGTTCTTCTACAATTCACCTAGAATAATTTTGATTATAAATGTCGACGTTTCGTAATGTGTAGATTCTATGGTTCATTTTTTTTTTTGCATATTTTTGAATATTTGAATGAAAATGCATATTTATTGCATATTTATTGATAGTTGCATAAATGTTGCATATTCTACAATTCATAGAATTTACGTCTGTAAAGATACCTACTGTCGATAATAATTTATAAATAACACATTAAACATCGATAAGTGATCGTCAATCGACATCATCGTTATCGACCGCCGACGAATGACGACAAATATTGGATTTTCTAGTGGTAAATTTATTATTACCCAAACACGTCCACATTAGATAACTGTATAGTATACTGTATAATACGTATTGGGTAACACAGAATTTAGTTTTAGTATGGTCTTTATCGTGCGTAGTGTACAGTGTACGGTATAGTTTGTTTAAAAAATCTAAGTTGCTACTTTTATTTTTATATAATGCCTAAAGTAAATAATGCTTCCAGGTACGTAAATAAATATCCAAACATATTTAAAACAGACGGGAAGATTTTATTTTGCAATTTTTGTTGTGTAAATGTGTCATGTAACAGAAAGTTTCAAGTAGTACCTACAACATTTAGAAAAATAGTAACAACAGTCTAATTTGGGTTTCCATCGATGAAACAATTGATGTACAGGGGCGATATGTTGCTAGTGTCATAATTGGGAAATAATCATCTGAAGAATGTACAAAACCAATTGTTTTAACGGTTGAGCAATTACAAAAGGCAAATTTTCAAACAATTTCCCAATTATTTAATGACTCCATGAGCATTTTATGGCCAGAAAAAGTATTTCATGAAAAAGTATTGTTGTATGTAACAGATGCTGCTCCGTACATGGTTAAATCTGGCGAAGCTCTTAAAGTATTTTACCATAAATTAATTCATGTAACGTGCATGGCTCATGGACTACACAGTGTAGCTGAAGCCATAAGAGAAAAATATCAAAATGTCGATCGATTAATACTAAAAAGATATTTTTAAAAGCACCTTCACGTGTAAATACTTTCAAAGAAATGTATCCCAAATTGAGTTTACTTCAACAACCAATTTTAACTCGTGGGGGTACATGGCTTGAAGCAGCAATTTATTAGTGGAAATATTTCAATGAGGTAAAATGTGTTATTAACGCTTTAAACCAAAATGAAGCGAAGTGTATTGAAAACGCACGTAGTTTATTTCATAATAAAGAGTTAAAAAATTAGCTCGCCGTTATTACAACACACTTTCAGTGTTTAATAGATACAATAACAAAACTAGAGAAATCGAATGTTACTTTAAGAAATAGTTTATTGCTCATAGAAAATATTAAAATTAAATTCGAAGAAGGATGGCCAGGAATAGATTTCGCTAGATCTAAATTTACAAATGTGTTGTAAAAAAATCGTGGATATTCTACATTGAAAATAATCGATGGTTTAATCATCGGCGAGGTAACTGAATGTGATGAAGACGAGGAACCTAAAATATGTTACGCGAGGTTGAAGATTTATCGAGTTTTAAATATGCACCAATTGTATCTTGTGACGTGGAAAGAAGTTTTTCCAAGTACAAAAGTATGCTTCGAGATAATCGTAGGAGTTTTCAATTTGAAAACTTGAAATCCATATTTATTACTTCTTCCTGGTACTTGTCCAATAATAATAATTTAATATAAATAGTAATACTTTAATTAATTTATAACACTTTTATACTTACACAATGTCATTAAAAATGTTATTTTGCATTTTTTTTTATTAATAAACAATTTTTATACATAATATATTGTTAATTTGTAAAAAAAATTAATTTTGCATATTTATGATATGAATCTGCATATTTTATAGATTTTTATTGCATATAAATCCGGGCCCTACTCATCAGGTTTCAAAAAGCTTAATCCGGTCTCTAATTATAATACTCATCATAGTATATTATTTTTATTATCATCATAGTGCAAGGAGTAAGAATTCAGTATCCTCAATGATAAGAATGGGCTTATATTTTTTGAAAGACAAAGTAAAAATTATATATGCAACCAACAATAAAAACAGGGTAATTCCTACCGTATACATTTAATCTTTAGAAAATAAATGCAGCATGCATAGGGCGATGTACATGAGCGAACTAGGACGAAAACACGGTTCGTGTAGAGCATACCTTTTATTTCTTATACTATGGATGACATATAATTATTGTATTTATAATACTATATTATAGGACAAGATAAAAGATCCATGAATATTCTGATAGGTGGAACAGAAACGTAAAAACATCTGTTTCCGGTATTTACACAAGGCGTGCGTCGCATCGAAAATCATGAATGAAAAAAAAATCCATAGTGCGGGCAAAGTGAAATGTCCACTGCCTCTCACCCTCACACTGCCCACACGATAACTATAGCTATTGACCTAACCTAACCACCAGCGAGTTGTGGTGGATGGCAAGGTGGCGGAACTGCCTCTCACCCTCACACTGCCCACACGATAACTGTAGCTATTGACCTAACCTAACCGCCAGCGAGTTGTGGTGGATGGCAAGGTGGCGGATCATAGGAGTGATAACCAGATGGGAAGCCTTTTACGGCGGTCACTCAATATCGTTAACAACTTACAGACTACCTATTATGGTTACGTAAATGGGTGGTGTCAACTGTATTTTTCGCGGCAAAATGACGAGGAAAATAGTAAGCCCCCGGCCGATCTATATCGTCCCAAAAAGCGGACGAGACAAACTGTGGAAGCAGCAGGAAACTACTACAGGTGTAACAGGTAGATCTAATCTTAAAAACAAATTACGCTACTTTGATCAAGAGTTATTTCATCTGTAAGGCCTGCCTGGTACACCATGTATACTATGGTTTTTAAACATGCTTTATAGATAATAATAATAAAAAAAAAAGAGAACACTATAGTACCTTTTTCCAGATTCGCGACGGCGAAAATACAGCGTGTTGAAACAAATGTGACGGCGAACGAGGGAGAGCGACGTAAAATATTTGTCTCGGACGTTTTTCCCTCGGATTCCAAACGTCGAAAAGTCACTGATCCAAAACAGTGAAGGTAGCTGCTGTCGTCTTCGGCATCAATCACTTGATGAATAATTATGACGATATTATGTTTTCCAAGAACTTCAGTATGTAGCTCGACAAGAGCAGCGTCCACGCGGACGGCGACGTCGGAACGCGGTTTGTAAGAACTGGGAACAGAACGAAGGCGGGACAGACGGAATCGAGAGGACCGAAGAAAAACGAATGACGATAAACGATGAAACCGAGAACAGTTATATACCTCCTGTGCAGCGCTGCCGTCGCCGGTCGCGTTTCACGACCACCGTCCACCACTCTACTGCGACGGGACGGAACAATGAAATGTCGAAAACGCATAATTCCCTGGCCGACGGGGTATGCTGCGCGGGGTCGGCTCTTTATGGCCATGTCACGTATTACACTCTTGCGCCCCGCCCTCGCAGGCGACCGTGTTCAAGGCCACCGATCGCCTGCCGACTCTCCCAACACTCGCTGCGTTGTACCCGCGCTACGGACGGCCGTCGGCGAATCGTGACTAGGCCACTGGGTGATGCGGAGAACGTGCGCACGCGCGAGCGTCGATCGAGCCGCATTCCACGAAAACACGGCGTGACAAAAAAAATAATATTATTTGGTCGTGGAAATAACGAAATATCGTTGACAATTACATTCCGATGTTTGGGTGGGTACACCATTCGATCGACGCGTCTCTCTTTGTCCTTTACGCGCGCTGTGGAAAAACGTCAAATGGCGCCACAGTGCACAGTGCCACACCCGAATGAAGTGTTTTTTACAGTTTTTTTTTCTTACACGACATGGACAAAACGCGTTTACGCTGTCTGAGTAGATATATCTCGGTTTTGATAAAAATACCTACCTACATAATTTAAAATGACAAAGAACAAGACTGTGGGTTTTTTTCCATTAGTATAACACACGATATTATATCGTTAAATAAATAACGACCATTAATATTCGTTGTCTGTAAGCGACCTGAGTAGTTTTTTTTGGTAAAAACTAAAACTGGGCGAGTTCTACTAAGACGGAGACGACACGTCATGCGTCGTTCGGCTAAATACATTATGGGACAATAACTTTAATATTCGTTTCGACGGCCGCGCAAAGATGACGACAAATACCTAAGAACGACATTATCGTTGTATTACAATTAGCGATTGAAAGCTTATCAATTAACAGGCCGGCGGGGGTGGATCTGTAAAGGGGAACATGTAAAATAACATATAAATCGATACACAGCGTCCCCGTTACATCATATTATTATCAATTTCAATCGTCGATAATATTATAATACTATATTATTATCAGCTTATCACCAGCCTAAAATATTAGTTACGTATAATTAGCATAGATAATAAAGAAATTATTCTTTATTATAATACTAGCCCTTGGTCTAGCCGGGGGAGACCCCCGGACCCCCCAGTGTTTGTTTGTAAGTGAGTACCGATTTCGGAGACAATGTCGTTGGAATTATAAAAATCACAAGGGTTGTAAGTCAAAAGTTTAGGATAAGTGATATGTAGAGCAGAGGACTTGTAGCATTTGCATATTTTTTTTGCACAGTCAGAAAAATAGCAGAGTGCGAAACAAATACGTTACATGCTTCCACAAAGCTAGTTTTAAAAATCTATTGTGCATAGAAATGCATATTTTGCAATTTTTTGGTTTTTAGGGCATATTTCTTTCATTTTATACTTTTAGATGCATATTTTAAATAATTTATCATTTTATCAATATTTTTAGTAGACGTTTTTATTTATTTATTTTTACAACCAAAATAAAGTTGAATTTAAAATTATTTAAAATTTTGATCATTATATGATCTTTCACTTTCTCCGGAACCTATAAATACAAGGTAGGGGGATTGTGGGTAAAAGCCGCATGTTAGTATTGTGAACACCAATAAATATAAACCACTATAAAAATAATTGAAGAAGTTTTTTAAAATTAAATCAAGCACCCGGTACAGTGGGTAAATTATTCAAGAGAACATGAATATTTTAGAGAAAAATAAAAGTTAACAAATATTGGCTCAAGTGTCAAGAATTTTATCTGGTGAAGAAACTTCAATTATAGTCAGAATACCTGAAATCTTGAGCCTTGGTGATTTAGAATATATTAAATATGGTCCTATAAATTCTGTTGATGTTGAACGTTTTTTTTCAATGTTCAAAGTGCTGTAAGCTGACAATAGAAAAAGTTTTCAATTTGAAAATTTGAAAAAACATCTTATTTTTCAATATAACTTCTAATGTAAAAATGTGTGTTAGTCTTAAATATTTGAAACAAAAATATTTTGTCAATTGTTTTATAGTAGTTGAAGAAGTAGAAAGTTGAAAGTTTTGAAGAAGTATCCAGATGAGAAAACATCAAATAAACCAAATAATTATTCAAATAATTTATTGTAACTTGTAAGTTGTTAAAGTTGTAAATACAATTTATTCATTAAAATAATAGAGAAGTACCTACCTACAGAAAACTTTTTGTTTTTCGTTAAAAAATATTCATTTTTAAATGCATATATTTTATATTTGAGTGCATATTTGGTGATTTTTTAGAGCTACAAGTTCTCTGCCCTAGTGATATGGATTGGAGATAAGGCTTGGCGCATTGGCAGGAATATTTAAAAGTTTGATCGTCTAGCAATCCGTCACAAACATTGTAAATAGATACGATCTCCAGGATCTCTAGTCAGCTGCTTTTGGTTGTTGAAATTATTAAAAATTGTAGTATCGGTATGTGTATTTGATTGTCTAGCTATCAGTCATCAAATCACATAGGTAGGTAATCCGACTGCGGCGGATCGCGGACAATATGTGAAGCGTATATTACCAGGTATGCAATCTACCTGCGGTTGGTGTAATACCGTGCCCCGTTGTATGTCCTGTTCTGTTTTGTTGACTTTATAAGAAATTAGGAATTGCGAATAATTGTAATGGAATGTCTAGCTATCAATCGTCGCTGTATGGAAATCTATGAGTTATAGTACATTTGTGTATGGCGGATTGGATACATAACCCGGGAACAATTGCAGTTTAGCTCCCCCGCGCTATTTTGAATTTTTTTTATCGAAACTTATGTAACTTATCGAGTTAAGAACGATGGTGCAATCAAAATTTGTCGCTCTCACTTTGTTTCGAAGTTATGGCCTTCCAAAGTTTATAATTTTCGTTTGTATGCATGCGCGCAATACTACCTACTATATTACCGCGCGGAGGACCTCAACAGTGATTACACAGTTTGGGGCGCTCGTCGCTGCGCTACTCGGCGCCGTCGCTGCGCTCTGTAAATAGAAAATATCCCCCGACTTGCTATGCAACACCACTTTAAGTAGGTTACAGGGAAAGTAAAAAGTTATGTCGTAGTATATGCCGTATATGGGCAGTATTATACAGTTTGCGGCACTCGTCGCTGGCTCCGCAAATCAAAAATATCTCCCGACTTGCTATGCAATACCACCTTAAGTAGGTTACAGGGTAAGTTATTTCGTAATACAGTGTTACACAGTTTAAGTATAAAAACAACTAAAAAAGTTCTCCGGTCGCCAAACTCGAGGTCCTCGTGCGGCATTAGTAGTGTTGCGCGTATGCGTCTAAATCGTTAGCTTTGGGAGGCTAAAACTTCGAAATTAAGTGAGAGCGACAAATTTTGATTGCATCATCGTTCTTAACTCGATGAGTTACATAAGTTTCGATAAAAAATTTCAAAATGGCGAGGGGGAGCTAAATTGCAATTATGCCAATATAAAGTGTGAATTGCAGTAAATAAACTGTAATGATGTATAAGTACACGGGGTGAACAATTAAGCTTTAAATAATAAAAAAAATAGTACTCATTAGTCTATAAAACGCCAAACGTAGTAAAAAAAAAAAATAGGTAGGATAAAAAAAGGTAAGAAAAAAAAAAAAAAAAGAGTGTAAATTTGTATAGTAGTATACACAATTCGTAAAAACGAACGTTTCGCACAGACGCTCGTGGAAGAAAGTCGCACTCGCCCGAAGTCGGAGCGGAGAGCCGCCCAGGTCCACTGAGCTTTTCGCTGTTTACTCTGCCACCACGTGACAGCAGTATTACCAAATGTTACCTATTTAATTTTAATAAGCTTTTTGTCAATGCTCAACGATTTTGACAGACCCGCGGTGCTGGTAATAACATCGGTAAATACCATTACTAAAATGCAAGGCAAAACTAAACAGTGGAATCAATTCTATATTTATTTGCCATCGACCAGTGGAAGTGAGTACTCGTTACTTTATTATATTTTTCACTTTTTTTTTTGTTTTTTTTGACAACTTTACTAATGTTAATTTTTCGTTGTAGAATGTTTCATTTTCAAAATTGTAAAGTGACGGTGCAGGCTGCATCCAACCACCCACCATCTTCTGAAATTGTAGCACCTAAAAGTATGTATAAATATTGTCAATTGTCATGACGTATAATATACGGTAAACGGGAAAAAAGTCCCCGGTAAGAAAGTCCCACGGAAACAAAGTCTCTCATTGTAGAATAAATAAAACGATATTTCCTCTATACTGTTATATACTGGTATATCTATGTTTCTAAATAAATTGGGTTGACAAATTTTATATATTATTATATGTTTAAGATATTATATTATTTTCAATAAATTTAAAATGTATTTAATTATGTATATAAATACTTATCTACAATAATTTTTAATCCTAGAAAGGTATCTATTTAATTTAGTTGATTGTTAATAATTTTCAATACAAATATGTAACATGTTTTACCTATGGGCTATGTACTTAATAAATACCTATATGATAAAAGACAGAATTTAAATCAAATAGTAATTTGGAGACTTTTTTTTTCCGTGAGACTTTTACCGGGAACTATTGGAACAAATGCACTTTACCACGCCCCTCACAAATTCCGATTTTTTTTTAAAAATACGTGTTATTCAACGCTGATTTCGAAACTGTTTGAATTTTTGTGCGGAAACCATTATTTTGGAAGTTATAGCCTTCCAAAGTTTGCGATTTTACGTTAATACGCATGCGCTCAACACCACTATGTATTACCGCCGCGCGGAGCGTGTATAACCTATTTAAATTCTTTTTACGGGGACAATAATTTTAAAGTTGAAATTCAATTTTTTTATTTTATTGTATATTGTACTTATACACAATGTTAAATATTTAATAAACAATATTATCAGCATTTTCTTCATCTGTTTCAAAGTTGCACAAAATTGCACATTTTAATTGGTCTTCGTTCTATTTTTATATCAATATCGCTATTTTATAACTATTTCATTATAACTACTAAATTGTATATTATTACAAATATTGTTATATTCAATTATCTTGATGATAATTATATCAGGTAGATAAGCTAATGAGTATATTGTAGTACCTATTATACCTATA